AGAGAGAGAGAGAGAGAGTCACCTGGTCTGAGTTAGCCTGGATCAAGAGTCAGGCGCTTCCAGGCCGAAAAAAGCAGGAACTTCCTGAGTCTCCCTTATTCATAGTGTTTTAATTTTCCTAATAAAAGATTGTGTTGTCAGACCCTGATTCGGACCAGGGGGTTTGAGCTCAGACCCCTGGTGAGTCGAAGCCCCAGCCCTATTTTTTAAACAATGGTTTTCAGCATTAAGCATGGGCAGGATCTTAGTTGTTTTGTTCTTGGGATTTTAGAAGCACTACTCATGAGAATTCTTCTGTTGAATTCTGTTTAAGGTTTCATGACAAGTTCATTTGTAGAATTGGCTCCCTTTGTAGAATTGGTTCTAAATTCTATTGCCTCCATGTCATTGGCCACCATGAAAACTTGTTTACTTAGATAAACTAGGAGCACATTTACTGCAATATCTGTGTCAGTGCTAAGGCTTTAAAAAATGGATTGGTGATCCAGATCACACACCCGGGTTCCTGATCTGGTTTGGCAGATTGGCGATTTGTTCTACCCAACGGGACATTTAAAAATTAAAAAAATTGAAAAAAGATAAAAAAAGTGGGACTAGTTCTCTGACAGAACCGGCCAAATCCGGCCGTGTTGTGGGGGAAACTGGCCGGTTCCAAATATATTGTGGGAACTGGTTCGTCGATGACAAATCCCGATCCAATCAGCCGAGTCTGATCCAGATCGGCGTTTTTCTAAACCTTCATTCGTGTTGTTTTCCATGCTTTAGATCGATGTTTAAAACGTCACCTGGTGGATTCAGGTTTCCATGCTTTAGATCGATGTTTAAAAAATCACCTGGTGGATTCAGGCACGCCCCAGTCAGACCAGATAGGGAACCAGGCAATTCTGGGCCAAAAAACCTCATAATCACTTGAGTCTCCCAAAATTTTTCAGAATTATATCTTTCTGATTGAAAATTGCGCAGTCTGATTGGACTTAAGTCACACTGTAGAGACCCACCTTCAGCCCCCTGGCAAGTTGAGCCTGAGTCTGTCTTTTTAAACATTGGCTTAAACTGTTCTAATTGTTTTCTTGACTATTCTTTATATCCTTGTGCTTTTAGTGAAATTCCATTTCTGAGAAGAAAATGCTTTGGTTGACAGCCGTTAATTGAATCCTCCAACCTCCTCCATGGCCTCATATATCTTCTCCTTATCTTAGATCAATTTAGAACATATCAAAGAACAAACTTCAGTGAATTCTTTTGAGGCAATTAGCTTGGCGACGAGGAACTAGCTTCTGCATAAGGAGGCTATATTAAGGATTTTTCCGCAAAAGTTGGCTCTCGCTCTCTCTCAGTAGTAATTTTCTCTGGTACAAAAATGTCACGTAGAAAGGTTCCTGATGTGGCTAGGGACCATGGTAAGATCAACCCCAGAAATGGTTATCACGTTACATGCAATTATTGTGGCAAAACGGTGACTAGTTTGGCTCGTCTCAAGTATCACCTGGCATGTATTCCTGGAGAGGTGTTGCCATGTGGAAAAGTCCCAGAGGATGTCAAAACGCAGATGACAACTGCTGTCATTGAAATGTGGGTACAAAAATTGACTGATAAGCATGGGCAACAAAGTTTACATAAGGATCACATTAAACGTCAATTGATTATTCAATCAAAATTGTGCAGGTCCAAAGCCTCTCAATCAGCTAGTTTCAAGAAACAGAGAGTAAATGTCGGGACTGAGGTCGAGAGTAAGATGGAAAGTTCTTCTAGTCCTCTCTATCCATTAGGTTCAAATGATAAATGGAGGCATGCTTGTATGTGCATTGGCAGATTCTTCTATGAGTCTGGTATGGAACTCAGTGCTTCTGAGTCTCCCGCCTTTCAGAACATGATAGAAGCTATAATTAATTGTGGGTTTGGATATAATAGCCCAAGTGTCCATGAATTAAGAGGTTGGATCCTAAAGGAAGAAGTGAAAGAAATAAATGAGCATTTGAAAGAGGTGAAATGTTCATGGGGAAGGACAGGGTGTAGCATATTATGCGATGATTTTGTGGACGAAATGGGACGGACTTTCCTGAACTTCATAGTTGATTGCCCCCAAGGTACCATTTATCTTAAATCTATTGATGCATCGGAGTTCACTGCTGATTTGAATTCCTTATGCAATTCGTTTGAGAGAATTATCGAGGAGGTAGGAATTGAAAACGTGGTACAAGTTATCACGAATGGTGTTACTTGTGATATGGAAGATGTGGGCCAAAAATTGATGAAGAAGCATAAAGGTTTCTTTTGGAGCCCATGTACGGCACATTGCATCAATATTATGTTGGAGGAGATGGAAAAAATGAACGATGTGAAAGTGGTATTGGATGAGGCAAAGTCAATAACTAGGTTTATTTATAACTCAGCACAATTTCTGAAACTGATGAGAATGCATACACAAGGGCAGGAATTGGTTCAGCAAGCTGAAACAAGGATTGTTGCTTGCTTTCTTACTTTGCAAAGAATTGTCTCTGAGAAAGAGAACCTGAGGAACATGTTTAACTCACCTACATGGAAGACATCTATATGGGCATCTCGAAATGAGGGAATTGAATTAGAAAATTTAATATGGGACCTCAGATTCTGGGAAAGAGCCGAAGTGGTTGTGAAGGCTACCATTCCACTTATTCAGGTTTTGAACTTGTTAGATGATAAATATTTGATGGGCTATATTTATGAGGCCATGGATCAGGCAAAGGAGATCATAAAAATCAATTTTGGAGATGAAGGATCCAAATACCTACCGTTTTGGAAACTCATAGATGATATATGGAACAATAAGCTCCATAGCCCTCTTCATGCTGCAGGTTATGTTCTAAACCCAATATATTTCTATTCCAAGGATTTCTATAGTGATCCCGAGGTTGCCAGTGGCCTCATCGAATGTATTGATCGGATGAATGCTGATCTTCACTCACAAGACTTGGTACTGCAAGAGCTAGATAAGTACAAAGGAGCCCAGGATGGTTTTGCAAAGGGGATGACTATTAGTCAGCAAAATAAGTGTCTCCCAGGTATGGCAAAAACAACTCCCATTTTCTTTGGATTAGTTCAGTGGTAGTATTCGACGGGGGATGTAGTGTTGCAATTGTCAACACCTTAACTAATCAAGCCCAGTTTTGAATCCTAAAAATGGGTAGTCAGCTTATTTTTACATTTGGAGAAAAACAACTGCCGTTTACAAATATAAAGTATCCTGTAATCCAATAAACTAAGGTAATCATTGTCCATCAATCCTTACGAAATGGAGGGTGACTCGGAGGAAGTGGACCCACCATTGGGTTCATGTCTTGATCTTGTGGGTCCCTCTCTCTCTCTCTCTCTCTATCTCTCTCTCTCCACCACCACCCATCAATCCAATGTCGATGGTGATGGCCATACTCAATGGAATTGTAGGCCTCATTTAGATGGGACATTTATTGACAAATAACTCCATTTGCTCTCCCGAACATTTAGGAGCGAAAAACATAACTGTTTGGTCCACATAAAAAGGGGGAAATTTGCAGAGAAATCTCTTATTATTTTTTAAATTTAAAACTAATCCCATGTATTTTATAGTTTACACTTTGGAGTCTCACTTTTTTATAACGAATATTGTATCTAATTTTATTCTCTTTTTTCTATATGTCTGATTAAGCTAAAATTTTAGGCATCATACTTCTCAACATAATGCACAAATTAAAAATATTAAAAAATAGTGAAATTTATCAAAATACACCCAATAAATTAACTATTTAATATTTTTTCCCTATGTCTTGTAATTTACTTTCAAAATACCTATCAAAATACTCATGATCATGAGGTAGAATAGTTAAAAAAAGGTTAAATTGTTGAAAAGTTCAGTGTATTTTGATAAATTTCCCCAAAAATATAATAAAATAAAATAAAAATGGCCAAAATACTCCAACATAATTCGAACTTTTAGGCGTATTTTGGTCAGTTTATTTATTTTAAAATATTTTTTGGCATTTTAAAAATGTTAGATGGTGATGAGTATCACTTTAAAAAATTGGGGCTTGAGTGTAAAATCTAAAATCTATATGAGTACTTTTAAATTTTGATAATAAACCAGGACCTTTTCATAAATTTCCCAAGAGTTTTTCACTTATTACCGAATAATCCCATTTCCAAAAGTATTGTTGGGCTGTCCAAACAAAGCCATATTGTACATTCCATTACAATTACGTGCTTGTAGGTAAGTGTGGCTTCTAGGCCTAGGAGTCAGGGTGGTGGGATACTACAATTTGACATCTATATAGTTCTGTTACTACTGAATTATGTAAAAAATGTTGTCGATATGGATAGACCATTTACTTGATGTAAGTCTATCACACTGCCTCTACTTGACGTGTAAAAAGTGGAAGTTTGGTCTCCACCATGTTTACATAAGCAAGGCCCCTCAAATAAAAGAAACCTCTTTTCTCTTATCTAATGTAAAAGAAGCAGAGTGGCGTATTTGCCCTAAGTTTTTATCTTTTCATAGTTAGTCTTCTATTTTCATTATGGTTGTGTTTTTTAATGGAAATGTCATTGCAGCTGACTGGTGGTCATCATATGGAGGTCATTGCCCAAATCTACAAAGAGTTGCACTTCGTATATTGAGCCAAAGTTGTTCGACCTTGAAATGTAAGCTGGACTGGAGTTTGATGAAGCAGTTGCATACTGGGAGAAGGAATAAAATTGAACACGAAAGGTTGACGGATCTGGTCTCTCTCCATTATAATCTCCAATTGAGGAATATGAACTCAACTATGAATAGCAACAAACCCACCAAAGAAATGGTGATCAACCAAATGAACGATTGGGTTGTGGGGTTACAAGAGCACGTTTTTCATTGTGAAACTTCAAGCTGGATGGATTTGGAGTTTGAGGACACAGATGTTGTTGACAAGGCATGTAGCCAAGTTCCTCCTAGCTTTCAACCCAAGGAAGAGTTGGATTAAGAGTGTCATATCAGGGGGTGATCTACTACAGGTGATGGCAGGGACCTAACAGAGTAGGAAATTTCCACATTCAATCTATGTGATTACAATTACAAAAGAGAGAGGAAAAGAAATCCGAAACTGAATGTATATGCTGCTGTCACCTATTGAGAAGAACAAAA